GGAGGGGCCACGAGAGGTTGGCCACCCAGCCCCACCCCCTATTGGGCTGGTCACAGTGGTCGTCATAATAGTGACCCGGCATTCTGGTCGTTCTGGCGTTCTGGTCGCTGGCTTTTTATATATATAGGTAGTTCAGAACCTGATGCTTTTGGCACTCATTCATTTATTCATTTATTTTAGTCCAAAAGAAACAGAAGACTTTCAGTCAACTGAGTCTTTTGGTAGCCAGCAGATGAATCTCAGTATTGGTGATGACAGCACTGGTAGTTGGTCCAATTTAAGTTTCGAAGATGAACACCAGGATGAAAGCAGCAGTTTTCATCATCTAAGTGAAAGGTAACTAAAACTTTACATGTAATAGCATAGTTTAGATCCTCAGACCTATGAAGTGAGCTATTAGTTTGCATTGAGTATTATTTAAAATTCTGAATTTGAGAATCTGTCATTATTTTCAAAATGTATTTTATTATTTGCAATATATTTCTAATGGTTTTTTGACATTTATTAAATACTAAAGGCCCAGTGCACGAAATCCGTGCATGGGTAGGGTTCCTAGTGGCTGCCAGCTGGGGGCATCTCCCTTCCCCCGGCCGCTGGCCCCACCCCCTGGTCGAACTCCTGGTCAAGGGGACAATTTGCATAATAGGCTTTTATTATATAGGATAATAATTAGCCCAGCTAATTTTCTCTGGATGTGCCAATAGTTGATTTGAAAATGTTACATACATTTAATTTTATACCCTTTTAGGCTTTACCTGGACTTTTAATGAATTTTTGAGGAAAAACTTTTTTTTTCTTACTTTGAAGAGAGTACTTTTTTTTCTGTAGAGCAGCGATTTTCAACCTTTTTCATCTCATGGCACACATACAGTAATTACTAAAATTCTGTAGCACACCAAAAAACATATTTTTTGCCAATCTGACAAAAAAAAAAAACAGGTATACTTTTGATTCATTCACACCAGACAGGTACTGGTATTGTTGTGTGGCTGTTGTCAGTTTTTAATTTGACAATCTAAGGGAAAAGAGGTCAGTGCCCCTGACTAAATAGTCAGGTATTACATTTTTTAAAAAATTATTGTGGCATGCCAGTTAAAAATAGCTGTTTGAGGATAGGAAAAAGGACAGTTATCTGTAAGAGACATAAAAATGGCCTGTAATTTCACAGGGATTAGTTTAGATAGTATGTTTTTTGGGAGGAAAGGTTCCTTACTTATCCTGCTACTCAGGAAAAAAATGATCCAGATCATTTATACTCGAATGACTGAAATACATAAACTCATTATAAATTGTTTGGTATAGCAGAGGCACCTACCTCATATATAACTTTTCTTAATTAACTTTATTTTGAATAAGTTATGGAATATTTTATTAATTGTGATACAGTTGTTTCTTATATGTATAACTCTATACAGGCATTTTCTAACCAATAAAATTTCATAAAATCTTTATCCAAATTAATTGACAATTGGAAATGATAAATACCATCTATAGCTGAGTCTAGGGAGTGGAGAGGATTCTCAGCATACATACTTCCAATTTTGGGCATATGTGGAAAGGACCCTGTGAGGCTCTAGGTGAACAGAGCCTTGAGGAGTGGGAGGTAAGCAGACTATTAGAGGAGGGGATGAGGGAGCATAAGAAAGGAAATAGCTATCACTTGTTAAAACAGATCATCATTTCAGAGTACTTTGTTTGATGCTTGGATTAGCTAGTAAGTGTTAGTATTTTTACAAAATATCTATTTTATCATAGTTTCTTAAAATGTAGTTGTAAATCTTCAATATTTCTTAAAATCTAGACCCAAAAATGGCAGTTTTTAAAACTGGGGGTAGGAAGTGGGGGTGATAATCACACATCATCATTTGGCTCTTTTCCATAACTTTATCTAGACTAGAATATGAACACTTAAATTTTTCTCTCATCTTTGAGAGATATAGGCTTTTAGAGTTTCAGTGAGAGTTGACATTGCTTAGGAAATCCCGGTGTTAAAATGGGAAAACTAGGATTAGAGGCTAGTGGCATTAAGAGGATTGTAGCCAGTTGAACAGCTCTATGTGGAATGTTACCTAGTTTAATGAAAAGAGGGAGACATCTACCATGCTCTGTTCTTGGTTCTGTCCTATACAGCATTATTTTATTGGTGATAAGTAATACTCATTTCTGAATGACTCAAAACGAAGATGAAAACAGTAAATCAGCAAGTGTTGGTGAGGATGTGGAGAAAAGGAAACCCTGGTGCACTGTTTGTGGGAATGCAGTTTGGTGCAGCTACTATGGAAAACAGTATAGAGTTTCCTCAAATAATTAAAAATGGAACTGCCTTATGACCCAGTGATTCTGGGAATATATCTGAAGAAATCTGAAACACTAATTGGAAAGAATATATGCACCCTTATGTTCATTGCAGCATTATTTACAATAGCCAAGGTTTGGAAGCAGCTCATCAGGAGATGAGCAGATAAAAAATCAGCGGTACATTTACACAATGGAATACTACCTGACCGTAAAAAGGGAAATCCTACCTTTTGTAACAGCATGAATGGACCTGGAGAGTATTATACTAAGTGAAATAAGCCAGTCAGAGAAAGACAAATACCATATGATTACACTTATATGTGGAATCCAATGAAAAAAATAAAATAACAAACTAGAAACAGACTCATAGTTACAGAGAACAGACTGACAGCGATCAGAGGGAAGGGTGTTGGGAGGGTGGGTGAAAAAGGTGAAGGGATTAACAAAGAAAAAAAAACAGTTCATAGACACAGAAAACAATATGGTGATTACCAGAGCGGGAGGTAGAAGAGGGTAAAGGGGAAATGAATGGTGACAGAAGACTTGGGGTGGTGAACACACAATACAAAATGCAGATGAAGTATTATACAATTGTACACTTGAAACCGATATAATTTTATTAACCAATGTCACCCCAATACATTCAGTAAAATTTTTTAAAAATTAGGATGAAAGATAATTCCATTAACAATCAAGGTTTAAAAAGACCAAATTAGGCTGAGGCTAAAATAAGTATATTTAATACGGATAAATCCAAGTCGGTTCAGAAAATTAATTATTTGAATTCAGGATGGGGATAGTTTGGCCTGATAGCATTTTGTCAGAAAAACTTCTGTAGTTTAATCTACCACAGTCTTAAGAACTATTATGCTTTGTGGCATTAAGGTTCAGCACAAAGAAAGGTAGTGGGACGCATCCAGGCTTGTTGGACATACAATTTTCAGGGTCTCATGTCCCAGAGATTGATTCCCTAGGTCATTAGAGGGTCCCAAGATACTGCATGCTTGATAAGACCCTCAGATAATTTTAATGCAGGAGGTTCAGAGAACACATGTAAGATAATATGGCTTTTCATGTTTCATCTTTTGATGACATGTGCTGTAGGCACTGTTATTTTCTGGTACAGAGATCAAGGTAGGAGATTAAAGACTTCAGAGATTTGGACAAACTTGCATTTTCCCTCTAAGTAGGAAGTTCCATAGAGGGCACCAGTTAAAAAAGAAACAATAATCTCAAAAGTTCACAAGTGTTTAGGAGGAATGTATAATGATTAGATCAGAAAGAGAACTGGTCTATGTAAGTGAATCTCAAGTATTTCAGCAGTTTGTGAATTTTGTCCCTCCACTGATTTTTAGACAGAGTGGAGGAGAAAAACATTGACGTGAGAGAGACACATTGATTGGTTGCCTCCTGCTTGATCCCCTACCAGGTTCTGGGGTTGAACCTGCAACAGAGGTACGTGCCCTTGACGGGGCATCAAACCCTTGACCCTTTGGTGCATAGGCTAGCACTCTAACAACTGAGAAAAACTGGCCAGGGCTGTTTTGTGAATTTCTTAAAAGTTGAGTTTTAGCCCTAGCTGGTTTGGCTCAGTGGATAGAGCGTCAGCCTGCGGACTGAAGGGTCCCAGGTTCGATTCCAGTTGGGAGCACATGCCTGGGTTGTGGGCTTGATCCCCATTAGGGGACGTGCAGGAGGCAGCCTGTCAATGATTCTCTGTCATCATTGATGTTTCTATCTCTCTTTCCCTCTCCCTTTGTCTCTGAAATCAATTAAGATATATATATTTAAAGTTAAGTTGTAGTAGATTTAGGTAAGAGATGGGGCTGGACTTGCCAAATTTTTTAGATAACTACCAGTGGTTTGCAAATGCCTGTCTTTAACATAGGAAAAATGAAAAGACATAAAAGAAAATGATGGAAGCAGGACAGTGTTCAGGAATGAAATGAAAAGATTTTAAGTGAAGAAATGAAGTTGTTTTATGTGTGGTTAACATAGGATGATCATACCTCCCAGTTTGCTCAGGACAGTCCTGGTTTATTTCTGTTCTGGTGTAATTATTGTTGGTGACGTCTTTCATTTTCAGAAGTGCCCTGGTGAGGTGAAAAATACATGGCCATTCTAGTTATAAGTGGCATTTTGTAAATAACGGACTTCAAATCTCTACTTTAAGGGGCAACATGGAAGGGGGAATGAGGTTAGATAGAGGGAGTTTGACAATATTTTAGCTGGTATTTTCATGTTCATCTAATACTTAGATGATTGATTTTTATTAAGTGGGGGAATCATTAGTGTATGGGTAAAAAGTTTGTAAATTTTTTTGTTTAGCTAATCATTCTGTTACTAGAAGTAAATACAGTGTTTGAGATCATTAATTTCTCTGGCTAGTAGCTCTCTGTTCACTCTATTTCTGTATTTTCTCAGTGTTGGTTTGTTGGACAGACTACATGGGCAAGATTCTGCTTGTTTTAATAGTTTTATGATAGAGCTATGTTTGTTTGAATATATGTGAAAAGCTACTGCTCCGTTTTAACTTTTATTCTCTAATACATTATAGTTTGTCACAATTTGTTAGTGGTAAAGTAAACATGGATATGTAAATTATTTGAGATTGCTTGGAAACTACTTAGAACTTTTAAATAATCTTCCTTTTTCTAGTAACTTTGTCAACATTTACTGATGCCTATGAAATTATTTAATGTTAACTCATTTTTTAAAACCAAAATTTTGGTTTATATAAATATTAACTTTTATAATTGCTTAGCCTAATATGGGGAAATATAGCTGCTTTCACTGCAAACTAATGTGCTTACTAATTATTTTGATTAGAATTTTTAAAAATTGCATGTTTAGGTGTTAATCTGAAAGATTGAATTTAGTTTTGTTTCTGAACACAGTTGCTTTTTGTTTTTTATTGCTTTGTTGCAATTTTAGAATATAGTTGCTTTCTTCTTTTGATTGGCTTAAAATAAGTTGTTATCTGTGTGGAATTAGTGACTGGCCAACCAGACAAGTGAAATGCTTGAATAAGCCTTGGTTAGTCAATATTCTGAAGAAAATGTATGTTATTTGCCACCTACTGAATTATATGTAATATATGAAATGAAGGTAATGACATAATAAGAATACTTGTTTTTTCCAAGTAGTTGAAAAAAAGGTCTCTTTGGGACTATGTTTCGGTGTCTACCTCCCTTACCCCCCAAGTCTATCACTGTTTGCACTATCTAAAGACCTGAGAGAATGTTAACATTCTTATTCCAAACTGAAGAGTATTAGCCTTTAAAACTTGACATATACTTAATTTAATTGTAAAACTTCATGCATTCATTTGCTGCTTTTAAAGACATTTTGTTGTCATAATCTGTAAAATAAATATACATTTAGAATAATTGTTATGATCTCTTGAGGACAAGTAGGAAAACACCCAGATCTCTGAAGCTGACAGGTACCTTTTGCAGTAGCAGTGTGGGCCTCTTGACCCCTGTGGATGCTGCACTCCACTGTGGCAGTTTCAGAACAGCCACAGTTAACACTTGACAGAAGCTGTTCCAAGGAAAACCATGATCGTCTTTACTATTCATTTTCTAGTTCAGCTCTGTTCTTTTCTTCCTCTGGCAGTAATGGTAACAGCAGTAGCTGGAGCAGTCTTGGTTTAGAAGGAGATTTGTATGAGGACAATTTATCCTTTCCAACATCAGACAGGTTGGTCCAGTCCAGAAACTTAAAAACTGATGAGTCTTTCACCACTAATGCATGATGCCATATTCTTAAAACAATGTGGGTTACAATGCCAATATGTATCAAGCTGCTTTTCTCCTATTTTTGACATGATTCTGCTTGATAAATTACATCTAATGAAAAAATTCTACTATGCTAAGATATGATTGACATCTAATTGCAAAATGTATTACTTTTATGCATGTATTGCTCTGCTTGCTATTTTTCATTCTACCAATTATTATTTCATTAAAAAGAGCTTGCTTCCTACAGGATTTCTGTTTTTTTTGTTGTTTTTGTTTTGTCCTTTGTTTTTTTTATATATAGTTTTATTTGATACATAAGAAAAATGTGTTCTTACTATGTTAAAAATATATAAACGGCATCAGCAGAAGCATTAATAAATAATAATTTGTGGCATTCTATGATATTCAAATGCTGTGTTATCTAAAACCAAATTGGTAGAATATTTTGGCTTCAAATTATTTTAAATTAAATTTTATTATGAAATTACTTGGTGTTCTATATATCATGGTCAGGTAGAACTTCTAGGTTACGATAACTTATCTAGGCATCATTTGCAATTCATATTTTAACATGAAATGATGTGAGAAGCAAAGCTTCCTTTTTTATTGTCATTTCTCCCCCTTTTAAATATCACACATCATATTGTAACATTCATTCTTTACCACATTTCAAGAATTGGTTTTAATACCATTATTAAAGCTTTTTTGTTTAACTGCTTCTGTTCTTTTATTCGAAAAGTGATGGGCCAGATGATAAAGACGAAGAGCATGTGGATGACATAGAAGGTAATTGACAATTTGTTTTTCAAAGTGTTTGCATGTTTTGTTTTATTTTAATACTAGAAGCCTGGTGCACGACATTCATGCACTCGGGGGGCGGGGGGTGCCCTCAGCTCGGCCTGCGCCCTTTTGCAGTCTGGGAAGCCCTTAGGGGATGTCTGACTGACAGCTTAGGCCTGCTCCCCATGGACATCCTTAGCGCTGCTGCAGAGGCGGGCCCCTGCGCTCGCCAGCCATCAGCCCAGCTTTGAGCTGAGCGGTGCTCCCTGTGTGGGAGTGCAATGACCACCAGGAGGCAGCTCCTGCATTGAGCGTCTGCCCCCTGGTGGTCAGTGCACTTCATAGCGACCAGTCGTTCCACTGTTTGGTCAATTTGTATGTTACCCTTTGATTATATAGGATATTTTTATTGATTTCAGAGAGGGATGATGAGAGAGATTCATTGATCGGCTGCCTCCTGCATGCCCCCCTACTGGGGATTGAGCCCACAACCCAGGCATGCACCCAGATTAGGAATCTAACCATGACCTCTGGTTCATAGGTTGACACTCAACCACTGAGCCACAATGGCAGGGCCATGCTTTTTTAGAAGGTTCTCTAGAAGAGTCTTTAATTTTTGTATTTGTTCATTTCATCAGTTAGGCTCTTGGCCATTACAAATAAGGGTATTTACATTATAAATCAGGGTATTCTTTAATTTATCCAATGTCAGGCCTTTTGTTGAGCAGTTTGTATTATTTGATTGCTAAACTAATGAGGTACCCATTGATATAAAGACTGAGTTGCTTTAAAAGAATGATTCAGTTACTTGTGAGGGAAATTCATGATCAACTCTATATAATTATCTTTTTCAAAATAAATTCCTTACTCATATTATTTATTATAACTATAGCGTATGTCATAGTTTTTTCCTTTCAAACAAGTAACTTCTAGAATTAGTGTTTAATGACAATCTCACATAAATCATATTCCCTCTTCACATGTCTTCCCAAATTCCAGTACTACACTCACATACATGTATTTGAAGAAAATACTCAATTCTTCCTTTAATGAACATAGTTCTGAATATGTTAATAACAGATACAATTGGTTACAGAGTTCTGGGCTATGATTTGTAATCCCTAATTTAAATATCTTAGACTGTCTGAATGAATCTAAAAATGGTTCACATTGAAGCTGAATTTTTTAAAAATATATATATATATTTATTGATTTTAGAGAGGAAGGGAGAGGGGAGAGAGTGATAGAAATATCAGTGATGAGAGAGTCATTGATTGGCTGTCTCCTGCATGTCCCCAACTGGGGATTGAGCCCACTATCTGGCATGTGCCCTTGACTGGAATCGAACCTGGGACCCTTCAGTCCGTAGGCTGATGCTCTATCCACTGAACCAAACCAGCTTAGGGTGAAGCTGAATTTTTATTGTATTTAGATGGTTGTTGACTCCCCCCAACCCCCATCTTATTTTTCCTTAATTATGAAAATACCAATATGTCTTCTCTAGGATGGAACATAAAAAGATTCATACTGTTTGAGATATAGTGCTTGGTTTTGAACCAGTGATTTTTTATGTTATCACTAGTAGCCCGGTGCACGAAATTCGTGCACATTAAAAGGGAATTAATTGCCCTAACCAGTTTGGCTCAGTTGATAGAGCATCGGCCTGTGGACTCAAGGGTCCCAGGTTCGATTCCGGTCAAGGGCATGTACCTT